TCCTAACATTTTAAATATAAATGATTGAAACTCACAAGTTTACCATAATTTAAACTTAAGCAAAGCTTAAGATAGTCCCTAATTCTTAACTAAGATAGTTTCTAGTAGATTATTAAGATAGTCCCTAAACTTAAGATAGTCCCTAATAATTAAAATATAACACTTACGAAGTTAATAAATATTAACTATTTCTACTAATTTTTAATCATTTAATAATTCTGATAAAAACACGCTTGATTTTTTTATTTTAGAAATCATACGGGCTATAATAATTAATATGACTATATTAACAATATTTAAATTAAAATTTATTTGAAGGTATGCTACTGTATTACAATAATTGTAAAACACGTATGTAATAATAACTCGGAATAATATAATAATTATTTAAAACTGCTCATCGCGTTATCGATGGCGGCGTCTTGTCACTTTTATTTAGTCCGGTCACTATTATTTTATTAGCCGTTTAGGTATAGTTTGATTTCAGATAATGCAGATTTTAATGTGCCATTTGTGTTTTTTTTATTGGATTTTTTTTGCATATTTGGTATATTCTATGAAGTGATTTTAAGTGCTCCTGACCATTTTTCAATTATTAAAGTGCTTATTTAGATACATTTAAAATGAATTAATTAGTGTATAGTATTTGTATTATGAGTTTGTTTATTTTTTATGGAATGTATTTTTTTCCCATTAAAATAAACATAGCTTACTAGATCACTAGCTAGCCATTTTTAAATACAGGGTGTTAATTAAGTATCCGGCCAAACTTCAGGAGGTGATTCTTTGAGTGTTTTAAGGTAAAAAGTTCATATAAACATGTGTCCGGAAATGTACAATTTTAAAGAGACAGGGTGTCAAGGTGTTTTCTAATAGACCTTTTTTATCAATATCCCAAAGATCCGTTGACCGATTTTGGTGATATTTCGCCATGTTGTGAACTTTGATAAGTTAGTACTAATTAAATGATAATTATTATTTACAACAATATTCAAAGGATAAAATCTTATCCCAATAAATATTTGGTAACGCTTTGGATTCATGTGTTTTACGCCTGTTGGCGGTGGAAACCATGCAAGCTTTTTCTTTGGCCTAAGTTGTTAATTAAAAAAATAATAATCATAAAAAATATAGGTCCTAATAGCCTAAATTTTAGCAAAATGTATCAGCAGATCCGATGAGATCCGAGTTATTATGTTTTGGAACTTAATGATTTAATTAATTATTCCCTTTAATGCATTTACATATCCTACGCGACAAGAAAAAAATATTGCATTAGTCTAAATTTATTATTTTTGTTATTCCACTCTCTCACGTATAATTTGTTCCTGGCTTCTCATACGGAAAGAGTTAGATTATAAAGTAGCCAAACTGTACCTAACAACCCATATGCCTTGACGCATATTATTTTTTATAATAATATGGGCTTTCTTTATCCGCCGGCCCAGACAAACATCCATATCCATAAAATACTTGGCCCACAGACACACACACACACACTGATAAATTAATAAGACCTCATTTCGGCCCTCAAACGTCCTTCGATGATCAACGCCGGCTAAACTATCGAGTTACGTGTTGACAAGTTGATTAGGCAGGTTATTGAACTCGTGTGGCATCGAGCATGTCGTTTTTTCAAAGATGGGTCCCATATAAACGCGGCCAGAAGTATTTTCAATACTAAAAATATTGTAATATTTAAGGGGTGGTTTCACCCTCTTTGAACTGGAATTTCGAAAAAAAACCCTTCTTATCGAACACTACACCCTAGAATCAACCTGTGTGCCAAAATTGAGCTTCTTTCGTTGAGTGGTTTGAATAGGATCGTGATTAATCAGTATGTCAGTCACTTAAGGATTTTATATATTAGTATAGATTTCAAATTTAGATTAATTTTAATAATTATAATGTGTCAAAGCGATTTCGATCTTTGATATCCAGAGTCGAAAGATTAAGTCACAGTGCATACTGAAGTGTTTATTATTTTCTCCATTTAATATGTAACCTAACTGATTCTAATCTGGTATTTTGTACTGAAACAAAGTGCTGTTTTGCTAATACCACATCAGAGATAATGCTACCTTAGTAATTATCGCAAAAAACTTTCTTGTTTTTGTGAAACATCCCTATATGAATCGTGATTTGTTAAATGGGCCATTTTATAGTACGATCATATATCAGCCATTTTATAGTACGATATTACAGTTTCTTATTAAAAGAGCCTCTGTCCTGACATTCACTAATAGCGCGCAAAATATTGGGAGTTTTATATCAAGGCATCAATCTGCCAAATGACTGTTCTCAAAAGTTATGTTACCTGACTGATGCCCATTTAACAAATCACGATTCGTTCAGGGTTCGGCAATAGTGCGTCGGGCATCTGTAGCTCTTAGAATAAAAAAAACTTGAACATTTTGTTTAAGTGCAAACAAAGTATGTACTAGAATGTATTTATAATAATAATAATAATAGCTCCCGTATATAGCGTTTAACGCCTTGGGAGTAGCAAGGTACAGCTTGCCATGCTAGAGCCGTTCGGTATACAAGGAAGGTAATGTGGCTAGCACTACGCTTCAACCGCCTATTATTACCTCAGGATTATGAATCCCAAGTACTCATTTAAGGCTGAGTCGACCTAGGTACCCAAACTATATGTTTATTTTAATAAAAATAGTCGGCTGAACCCACACCCTTTCAGGAATATATTATAACTTCTATAGGGTGGCTCAAAAAAGTGTGAGTGGATCGGGATGATTTTTTTAAATGGAACATTCTGTATTTTATTGCAATTTTGGCTTCTTTTCAGATCACTTCACATAATCCTAAGATATGAGTAAATATATTTCGATAATTTCAGAAATATTAAGAAATAAATAAAAAATATATATTATTCAAGCTTTCTTAAAAAAAATGTTACAAATACCAGAACTCTTCCGAAATAAAAACTATATTAGATAGTTTATACTTACTTTGCTATAAATATCGTAATCTTAAATCATACAGGGTATTCAAAATTCGGCGCCAAACTTTATAAAATATAAAATAATTTTTCTTTGTTTTTTTTTAACAGAACACCCTGTATATTATTTTTTTATTAGTTGGGGAGTTAAAAAATTAATATTTTTTTCTATTTAAAGTATTTCAAAAATTTTAATGGTTGCAGATACACGTAGTATTATTTCATATTATTATTTCAGGTTTTTAAAACTGTTAAAAATTTTGAAATACTCTAAATACAAAAAATGTTGATTTTTTAATTCTCCATATATTGAAAAAATAATATACAGGGTGTTCCATGTAAAAAAAAACGATGCAAAATTATTTTATATTTTAGAAAGTTTGTCGTAGAATATTGAACATCCTGTATGGTTTACGATTACAGCACAACCGGTGGATTCAGCCTAACCCGTTCTAACCCGACGCCGGTACAAGGAGGACAGAAGCAAACACGAGGCGTACAGTTGCCGGGCTAAATTCAAAATAAATTTCTCTCTTTTAGATAAATAGTTAAATAAATACTAAATAAGTTGTAAATAGTTATTTAAGTAGTTTTATCGTTATTGTTTTGTTACTTAGTATAAAATAAATTGTGTTTAAATAAATTAGACTTTCTATCCACACGGAACCGACGAAAAACGTAACAATATCATTAAATTAATATAAAAAAAGAATATGTACTTATTTAGTCTATCTAGTGTTTTATTGATTCGTATTTCAAGATTTATCAATACTATGTGGTCAGTATCGTTATTTCCCGTACAATAACTGTCCGTAACATATACATTCATCCATTTAAATTGAATTTAAAAATGCCGGCTGTTTATGACTATGACTATTTTCCAGTACCACACCAACCATTAATAGTTAATGGTGTGCAATTATTGCAACCAACAAAAACAACCAAAAGTCCGAAACACCTAAAATCCAAATTTATAAAAAATACACTCCACAACTAACTACTACATTCTATTGAACTTATAAATTCTTTTCCCACGATAAAAATGATTAATATATTATCTAAATATTAAGTTAGAATTTGAATGGAACAAAATACACAAATAACAGAAATATGTGCGTATTATTTGTTATGTGTTTTCTGGTGTTGTTCTTCTATTCAAAATTCCATTAATTGTGACTGAACAATGTAATTAATAAACTCTTACAATGAATTGTGAAATTTTGCTGTTTATAATAAAATACTTAAGCAAATAATCGGAGTAATAATGAATATTACTTTTTATAAAGATAAAACGTTAAGTATTTTTTCGTGATGATCCCTTTTGAATATTTTTATTGATATCGATAAATAGTCAAGGTTTTGGTAACCTTGCCACTTCACTCGTTGAATATAAATATATCATATAAGCTGCATTTTTAATTTAAAACAATTTGTACTTAAAAATAAAGCTTTTCGTAAATACCATTGTGTTTAGTTTTACTGAATTTTCCAACTACGATGTTTTACAATCTACTGCTGTAAAGGGTAATATCACAAGTAATTTTGGCAATTTTACTGCAATATCGGTAATATATTCAATATCGGTGGTGAATAAAAACGCACAACGGCAACGTCGCTTCATTTCCTTGTGACGCGTGCAACACCCCTCCACCGTCGGCGACCAGCACCGAAAGACGAAGACGAAGAAGCCGCGGCCATTACATATTCGCCTCTACTGTCAGACAGGGCGCATCATTTCACATTACTTATTTACGTAATTAGTTTTATATTGTTAAATATATTATTAATAAAACCACACACAAAAATCAGCGTTTTAGTACGCAACATATGGTCCTTCGAGCCCGATTGAATGGGATTTCAAGAGCAATTGACGAATATTTGGCTGAAAGAAGACAAGATCAGGTGGGTTTTTTCCTATTTTCCATAATATTCCTTATCATTTTCATGTCAATTCCTGTCAGGGTATTGTAGAGAATTGTTAGTACTATCGTTCTTTAATTTCATTGTCATATTTCATATTTATATTAAGAATATAACTGTCATGGCCGAACTAAAGGCATTGTTAGCCGAAAGAAGGCAACTTAAATCTAGTTTAACACGGTTTAAACACTTTTTAGAGAAACAAAATTCGTCAGAACAAATTGCGCTGTCAGAATTAGACGTTAGATTGTCTCAAATTCAAGATCATTTAAAGAAATTTGAAGATATACAATTAAAAATTGAAATTTTATCAACAGAAAACGAGTCGAGCGATGTTTTAGAGGATATTAATGAACGGGATTCTTTTGAGAGTAACTTTTATTCAGCGATAAGTTTAGCTACTGATATTTCAAATCAATGTAGAATAACTGAACAAAATCATGAACATTCGATCACTGATAATGATATACGTACGGTTGATAATAAAGTATTTGATAATTTACAGCAAGTAAGACTTCCTCAGTTAAACTTACCTACTTTCAATGGAGATTATAGTGAATGGTTATTTTTTCGAGATAGTTTTAAATCTCTAATACACGAAAATGTAAGTTTAGATATAATTCAGAAATTTCACTACTTAAGACTTTCACTTAAGGGCGAAGCTGCACAAGTTGTGCAATCGTTAGGCGTTTCGGCAAATAATTATGACACAGCTTGGTCTCTATTAAATGAGCGTTATGAAAACATACCCTTACTTGTCGGAAATCATGTACGTGCTATTTTTAATTTACCTAATCTAAATGAGGAATCTCACGTGGGGCTTAGACAATTATTAGATGGTGTCACACAACATACTAGGGCGCTCGAAGTTTTAGGCCAACCTGTGAACTCTTGGGATACTTTGTTGATTCATATTTTAATTTCAAAATTAGATGGTGTTTCTAGAAGAGCTTGGGAAGCTCAAAATAGTTCTAATGTTTTGCCTACTTTTCGCGTGTTCAAAGAATTCTTACAAGAAAAATGTCGTGTACTAGAAGCAATAAGTCAAAGTTCTTCTAAGTCGATACGCGGAGGAAAAAGAAACATATAACAGTGTAACTGCTTTAAAATGTTCCTTGTGTCAAAACGAACATCTTATTTATAACTGTAAAGATTTTATTAAACTTGATGGTAATGGTAGATTATCCGAAGCAATCCGATTGAAACTTTGTCTTAATTGTCTTCGTAAGGGTCATCTGTCAAAAGATTGCAAGTGTCAACCTTGTCCTAAATGTCATAGACGACATCATAGTTTATTGCATTTTGCAAATTTTCAGCAAAATAGATCATCTGTCACAAATCCTCCTCAGGGTAATGAAAGTCATGCTTTTCATAGTTATAAAGATTCAAATAGTATTTTACTTTCGACTGCTATAGTCCAAGTCACAGATAATCAAGGTAAAGTCCATGAATGCAGAGCTTTGTTAGATAGCGGTTCAGAATCCAACTTCATAACAGAAAAATTGTGCAACACATTAAATTTGCCTAGAACTCTTACAGATATCACTATAAACGGGATAGGCCAGTCTGCTTCTCAAATTATTCATAGAGTTTCCGTAAATATGCAATCACGTTTAAATAATTTTAAAGTAGAACTTCCATGTCTTGTTATTAAAAACATTACTAATAAAATTCCACAAACTTATTTCGATATCGAAGAACTTCAAATTCCTAAAAAATGTGCACTTGCTGATCCTGCATTCAACATGCCATGTCAGATTGATATTTTGTTAGGTGCTCAAATTTTCTGGGATCTTGTTTGTGTAGGACAAATTAAATTAGGCAAAAATTACCCAACACTTCAAAAAACTCATTTGGGCTGGTTAGTAGCGGGCACTATACCTAGTTCTATGTCAAATATTTCATCATGTAACTTTTCTCATTTATCTAATGATTTAAATGATTCTCTTAAGAAATTCTGGGAAATTGAACATTGTCCAGGTACTCAAATTATTTTATCTAACGAAGAAAGAGCTTGTGAAAAACATTTTGCCCAAAATACAAAGAGAAACTCAGACGGACGTTTTATAGTTAGTTTGCCATTAACGAATTCTTCTGATAGAATTGGAGATAATAGAGCAAATGCTGTCAAGCGCTTCTATAATATTGAAAAAAGATTTCAACGTGACCAAAACTTATTTATTGAGTATAAGGCTTTCATAGACGAATACATAAACTTGAATCATATGACTAAAATTGTTGACATGCCTGAACCTGGTGAATATTTTTTGCCTCACCATTGTGTTTTCAAGGAGTCCAGTACGACTACTCGACTAAGAATTGTATTCGATGGTAGTTGTAAGACAAATACCGGGTTATCTTTAAATGATATTATGATGGTAGGTCCAACGATCCAAGAAGACATTTTTGCTATTCTTTTGCGTTTCAGAATCTTTGATATAGTAATAAAAGCTGATATAGCAAAAATGTATCGGCAGGTACTTGTTTCAGAATCTGACAGAAAACTTCAAAAGATATTTTGGCGTAATAAACCATCAGACCAATTAGATACTTATCAGTTGAACACCGTAACATATGGTACATCAGCAGCAGCATTCCTAGCCATTCGATGCTTAAACCAATTAGCTTACGAACATAAGGAATCTCATCCTGAAGCTAGTGAAGCTATACTAAAATGTTTTTATGTTGATGACCTGCTTTACGGTGGAACAAACATTTCTGATATTATAAGAGTAAAAAACGACATAAATGCGATTCTGCAGAAAGCTGGATTTGAGCTTAGAAAATGGGTATCAAATGACGAGCGTGTATTTCAACAAATTAATAAACCAAAGGATTGTACTCTAGGTGAGCATGAAAACTCAAAAACTCTTGGTTTGAAATGGATTCCTGCAGAAGATCAACTAAGCTTTGAAATCGGTAACTTTGATGAAGAAAAACCTGTTACGAAACGTACAATATTGTCCATGACTGCTCAATTGTTTGACCCTCTAGGACTATTAAGCCCAGTAATTATTATACCGAAGGTTATGTTACAAAGACTATGGCAAGCGAACCTGCACTGGGATGAATCTGTTCCTCTAGAGTTTCATACAAGATGGTTAAGCTTCAGAAATGAGCTAATGGAACTTGCCAATCTCAAGATACCTAGGCATGTAGTATGTACGCGATTGAAAATAGTACAACTACATGGATTTTCAGATTCATCGGAACAAGCATACGGTGCATGCGTATATTTAAGAACAGTCGATGTTGATGATAAAGTTCTCGTTAATCTATTATGCTCTAAGAGTAGGGTAGCGCCTGTGAAAATTATTTCTATACCCAGATTAGAATTATGCGCAGCTGTTCTACTCGCAGAACTAACACAAAGGGTATTTCAGGCTCTTAATATGGATATTCAGAGTGTACACTATTGGTGCGATTCTAAAATTGTTTTGTCTTGGATTTCAGCTTCAGCGCACAAATGGAAGACATTTGTCGCAAACAGGGTAGCAAGAATTCAAGAGCTGTCAAACCCAAATGAATGGCATTATGTACATACGTCTGATAATCCTGCAGATCTTATTTCGAGGGGTTTAAATCCAAAACTCTTGATTAATACTCATTTATGGTGGAATGGTCCATCATGGTTAAGGTTAAATACATGTGATTGGCCTGCATATAGCCATAAAATTGACAATATACCGGAAGAAAGGGTTAAATTAAAAACTTTTACCGTTACTAAAGTAAATTTTAATTGCGATTTAATTAATAAATTTTCATCCCTTACGAAACTGAAAAGGGTATCAGCCTATTGTTTGCGTTTTATACATAATTGTAAGTTTAATCGAGATAGAAAAAACGAACGTATTACCGGTCCTTTATCTGTGAAGGAATTAAATTTTGCATTAAAACGTATTGTACTTTTGGTACAACTACAAGAATTTTCACAGGAAATAGATGACCTTAAACGCTCTGGAAGGGTTAATGTCAAGAGTAAGCTGTTTTCTTTAAATCCTTTCTTAGATGATGGAATAATAAGAGTCGGTGGACGTATTAAGCATTCAAATTTTAATCTTGAGAAAAAACATCCAGCTGTTTTACCATCTAAACATAATTTTACCATTTTGCTTATGAATTATGAACATTTTAGATTATTACACGCACCACCTAACTTATTATTAGCATCCATAAGAGAAAAATTTTGGCCATTAAGTGGACGTAGCCTCGCAAAAGGAATAGTGCACGATTGTATGAAATGTTTTAGGTTTAATCCAACGCAATCAAAATATTTAATGGGCGATTTACCTTCTACTCGATTAATGCCCACGAGACCATTTTTAATAGCTGGTTGTGATTATGCCGGACCCTTCTTATTGCGCGATCGCAGCACTAGAAATTTTAAATTGACTAAATGTTATATTTGTCTTTTCATTTGCTTTTCAACTAAAGCTGTCCATTTGGAACTGGTGAGCAGTTTGTCTACCGAAATTTTCTTATCAGCCTTACGTAGATTTTTTGCAAGACGCGGGAAATCTCAAATAATATATTCTGATCACGGTACCAATTTCCAAGGTGCAAAATCAGAACTTTATAAATTTCTAATGAATAAGACGGTAGAAAACGATATTAAAACCAAGCTATCAAATGAATCTGTTATGTGGTCTTTCATACCACCACGTGCTCCACATTTCGGTGGATTGTGGGAGTCTAATATAAAATCGCTTAAATCGCATCTTAAAAGAATTATCGGGGAACAATCCTTGACATACGAGCAATTTTCTACAGTGCTTTGTCAGGTTGAAGCATGTCTAAATTCCCGACCCCTTTCACCACTTTCATCCGATCCCAACGATTTGCTTCCTATCACCCCGGCCCATTTTCTGATCGGAGAAACACTTATGAGTCAACCAGAACCGGATTTGACAAATGTCAAAGAAAACTTACTGTCAAAGCTGCAGCAATGTCAACAGATGGTTCAGCACTTTTGGAATCGATGGTCCAAGGAATACATATCGGAGCTGCAGATCAGATCAAAGTGGAAGCAATCTTTTCCCAACGTCATAAAGCCTGGTATCCTTGTAATTGTCAAGGAAGATAATACTCCTCCTCTAAAGTGGCAACTTGGAAGAGTGGTAGGAGTGCACCCTGGAGCCGATAACGTTATTAGAGCCGTATCTATTAAAACGTCAAGGGGAACCATACAAAGACCAGTCATGAAAATTTGTGTCCTACCACAACACTGTCAAGCAGAGAAGGTTGAAGCCTGAGAGGTTTCAAGGCGGGCGGCTATGGTGAATAAAAACGCACAACGGCAACGTCGCTTCATTTCCTTGTGACGCGTGCAACACCCCTCCACCGTCGGCGACCAGCACCGAAAGACGAAGACGAAGAAGCCGCGGCCATTACATATTCGCCTCTACTGTCAGACAGGGCGCATCATTTCACATTACTTATTTACGTAATTAGTTTTATATTGTTAAATATATTATTAATAAAACCACACACAAAAATCAGCGTTTTAGTACGCAACAATCGGTAACAGCAATATTTCTATTGCTTTTTCCCATTCTACTCTTTTCCTTATTTTTTGGGTGAAAACAAGATGGGGCTTTGTTTGTTGTCTAAAAAGCCTTTTGGTGACACTAAATACTCATTAAAAGGCTTAGCTGTTGATGATAGCCCAGATATTTCTGATGTTCTTTCACCAAACACAGTAAATCTTCTACTTCGAAACGAATTTTGGCTCCAACTACAAGCAACTTTTGGCTTGTTTAAGGTAATCTCCAAGTGGATAATGTTTTTTGAAGATTGTTCAACAATCTCAAAAGTTTTTACCTGTTTTTTTTTTGTAATAAAGTCTATATTATGTAATAAAGTATCATATTCATCCGTTGCTAGGTGGGAAAACAAGAAAATATATACAATTCTGGAAAAATAGGCAATAAATGCTTAAGACCTGCTCATCTCTCTGCCAATTATATTCTCCATTTAATAAATTACTATAGTATTTTAATACTATCTGCCAAAATATTATAACCAAATCTAGGCGGCGAAAATTTAACTGAAGCTGAAAATTTAATTGCAACGGAGTTCATCTATGAAACCGCAAGGCATCATCCAAATAAATTTTCACAAGTAGATCTCATTATGGAAGCAATGACTGGCACAATACAAGAGAGGTAATATTTTTAATAAGATAAAGAGTTCGTCCTTTCCAGCGAAAAATCTATGTCTGGACCTGTCTGGTAGGCAGGAATTTGCTCCAGCTCTAAAATAAATATGTTGGCTATAGACAATTTAAATTTACCATCGTAAATACCCCCAACCGATTATATTTGTCCATCGGCCAAGAAGAAACATACTTACCGTGGAAAGGGCCGGAAAACTTACTTATATTACCCATAATTAATCACAGGAAGTGAAATATCTGGGAATAACCCTGGATAGTAAACTTCTCTGGAACAGGCATATTAAGAACATTACTAGCAAAGCCACAAAGGCCCTCATGATATGCAGAAGACTGGCGGGAAATAAGTGGGGCTGTGCCCCTAACATTTTGCTCTGGATGTATACCATGACAGTAAGACCCATGATATGGAGCAGTTGCTTGGTATACAAAACTAGAGCAACGTGCAGCAAGGCAAAACTTATGCAAAGGACAGAGACTGGCATGTATCTGCATCACAGGTGCCATGAGAACATGTCCAACAGCAGCAATGGAGGTCATTCTAGACCTAACACCACTGCACATTGTCGTAGGTTGTTAAGCCAATGAGACAATGATAAGAATGGTCATTGACGGAAACAGTACTGGGAGAATTTTCAGGTCAGGGGCCTGGAACACCCTCAAAAAGAAAATTCCACTTCTCCAACTCCCAGTAGATGAGATACCAAGAATTTACAACTTTGAGAAACACCTCACTGTAGTATTGAGTAATAAAAAGGATTGGAAGGAAGAAACGCCTTACTCATATATATACTGATGTTTCCAAAACCAAAGCAGGGACAGGAATAGGAGTATTTGGGCCGAAAACTAAATACTCTGAACCAAGGGAGTACCTACTCCACGGGGCACCTACCCCAGTATCCTTCAGGCAGAAATGTACGCTATCGAAAGATGCGTAAAATTTATCTTAGATAGGAACTATCGAAAACAGGAAATTGCCGTCCTATCCGATAGTCAAGCAACACTTAACGCGATCAACTCAGTAACCATCAATTCGAAGTTGGTCAAAGAATGCCTAGAGAAGCTCAACAAATTAGGCAAAGAAAATAAAGTCCTCCTACTCAGGGTGCCTGCTCATCAAGGGATAGAAGGCAATGAAAAAGCAAATGATCTAGCTAGGAAAGGAGCAAACACTCCACTAACTGGATCAGAAACGTTCTGTTTTCCAAACGGGATCCAACTGAAAGCGGAACTGAAGAATCTGGTAGACTCCATCCGTAACTTGGAATGGGCTTCCCCTAGGAGATGCAAGACCTTGTCGTTGGTGGGGAAGCTCCTTCTCAGGTGCTGGAGGGAATCCCCCTAGCACCTGGCTTGGTCTAAGAAGCATCTCACTCATCGTCTTGTCCCTAGCTGTAGTGTCGTGGCCAGGGAATTGCACCAAGACATATAACGATGCCGGACGGGGCTACCCCTGTCCGTCATACCAGGCACCCTCTACTGACTGTGGTCTGCGCCCCTAAAATTTTGCGCTGGATGTATACCATGATAGTAAGACCCATTATTACATATGGAGCAGTTGCTTGGTATACAAAACTAGAGCAACGTACAGCAAGGCAAAACCTGTGCAAAGTACAGAGACTGGCATGTATCTGTATCACAGGTGCCATGAGAACATCTCCAACAGCAGCAATGGAGGTCATTTTAGACCTAACACCACTGCACATTGTCGTCGGTAGTTATGCCAATGCGACAATGATTAGAATGGTCATTGACGAAAACAGTACTGGGAGAATTTTTAGGTCAGGGGCCTGGAACACCCTCAAAAAGAAAATTCCACTTCTCCAACTCCCAGTAGATGACATACCAAGAATTTACAACTTTGAGAAACACCTCACTGTAGTATTGAGTAATAAAAAGGATTGGAAGGAAGAAACGCTTACTCAGCATATAAAAGACCATACCATAACGTGGTATACTGATGCTCCCAAAACCAAAGCAGGGACAGGGATAGGAGTATGTTGAGTTATAACTCGTTATAACTCAAGAAAGGGGAACACACAATAGATCTTTCGCGTTGACTAACTCCCCTCCTAAACATTCTACATTCTACAACTTGGAATGGGTGTCCTCCAACGGTCTAAGATACTCGAAAAAGTTCCTCAGAACTTACGACCGAGAAAAATCAAAGGTTTTCCTTGATTTAAGTAAAAATAATCTTCGGATTGTCACGGAGTTTCTAACAGGACACTGTCTCCTCAACAAACACCTCAGTAGGCTGAAGCTGAAAAACAACGGCGAATGAAGATTATGTGGGGAAAATGGGGAAACACCAGAACACCTTATCACTTAGTGCGCCGAGACGGCGACCATTCGTGCCATGAACTTTGGTACGGCTGATGTCGAGGATGCACAGCTGGCCTCTGTAGAGCCGTCTCAGATATTGGCTTTTGTTAAAGCCCTGAGACTATATGATGAGTTATAACTCGTTATAACTCAAGAAAGGGGAACACACAATAGATCTGTAAGGTCGCGGTGATTAACTCCCCTCCTAAACATTCTACATATTCTAAATTCATACCCATAATTAATTATAATTTATTAAATGGAGAACATTCAAGAATGGTAGAGGCTGCTGAGAAAGAAATGGAAAAAGAAGATATCGATTTCGAATTAATAGATTTGACTCAATTAACGAAAGAGAAAGAAGAACCGTATGACAAGATTGAGGATGATTTACCCATTATCCACTATATACGTATTATAACATAGGCCACTCTGACTCCGACTAGTTTAAAAAACATTCTTTTCTTTTTTTGTAATGCTTTTAGAGTTTTGAAATAAAAAAATAATATTTAAAAAGCTGTTTTTTATAAATTACCAATGTTACCGTAATATTAGACACGTAAACCGGTAATATTACCGATTTATAAATTACCGGTAATTTTACATCACTAGGTACATCACGCTTTGTTATCAGGTACCTAAGAACTAAAACGAACAATAACTGTTTTTGGATCATACAATAATACTGTATGAACCAAAAAATGGCGTCTAGTTGGCTTCGAAATGAACATCGATGACCAAATCCTTATTACATGATCTTAGCTGTTCTATTTATTTGATAGATGTACTCTATAGTTCAAATTTATGATTATGAGGCAAAACATTACTAACTTGACATCTAGGCCAGTAAGCGAGGGTTTTAGGGTCCGAATTCTGAACACCTGCACGGATGGACGTGAAATTGTACCAGTCAATAGAGATATATGTAAGAAAAAAAAGTTACATAGTAGCGATGTGTGCTTTCACCCCACTCCTTCTCGGGGGTGAAAAATCAGTCACTCATTTTAATTACAAAAATCCATAAAGGGATGAATTCTCAGCAAAAAATGTTCTATAACATTTTTTCAGAAAATTAATATTTTCCTATAGTTATTTAAGATTGAAAATGTTGATTTTTTATCTAAAAACAGCATATTTTTTTGCCAATTTTTATAAATAACTCGGGAACCTTGCGTTTTATCGCAAAAATCAAATAAAGCAAAAATGAAGCTTTTGGAATAACGAATCGATTCGTTTTTTGTTGTTTACCATCGGTGTAGTAATAGCCGAATTATCACTCTGTAAACTTGATTCTTTATTTTTCGAAAACTAAATTGCAACCTTTTACCGTAAAATAATGGCGAAAGAACACATTTTTCGAAGAAAATAAATATGCCCGTTTTTAAAGTGCTTGAAAAGACCTTTTAAATGCTTTCTTAAAAAAGTTCGTAGCTTAAAAACTCGCCGAATTATGATAAAAATAATATGGTCACCTCATTATTTTGGAAAAAAATTAACAACAAAATTTATGACTAAAATCACAAAAATAAAAACTAAAAGTAATACATGTACATTTGGCTATATTTAGGTACTAGCAATTGACTCTGCAAATTCGAGCGGTTTCATATTGAAAATAATGAAAAAAAAAATATTTTTTGTTTTTTAAAAAATTTTAATTTTTTTACATATCTCAAAAACTAAGCAAGATACGTAAAAAATGCAACAGAGGAAAATTGAAGGTCTTTTTTGCAATATTTTGCCACCTTTTAATTTTTCTGTAGATTCTTTATTTCGTAGATACCTATTACGTTTTTTTTTAGTTTGACTTGCATGTAAAGACCACCTTCTTTGAGCCCTTAAAACCCAAAAATCTCGTGAAAATGAAGAGTTCAAGACTGTTCAACTATAGAGGTTAATTTGTAGCGCGTGTAATTTCCTACAAATTGATAGTTTTTATTTTTATGATTTTAGTCATAGACTTTGTTGTTAATTTTTTTCCAAAAAAATGAGGTGACCATTTTATTTTTATCATAACTCCGCGAGTTTTTGAGCTACGAACTTGAAAAGACCTTTAAAAAAGAAATTTAAAAGGTCTTTTCAAGCACTTTAAAACGGTCATATTCATTTTCTTCGAAAAATGTATTCTTTCGCCATTATAATTACTACACCTATGGTAACCAACAAAAATGAATAGATTCGTTATTCCAAAAGCTTCATTTTTCCTTTATAGGAGTTTTGCGATAAAACACAAGATTTTCGAGTTATTTATAAAAATTGCAGAAACATATGCGGTTTTTAAATGAAAACCCAAGATTTTCAATCCTCAATAACTCGGAAAATATTAATTTTCTGAAAAAATCTTACAGAACATTTTTTGCTTAGAATTAATCTCTTTATTGATTTTTGTAACTAAAATGGGTGATCTATTTTTCACCCCCGAGAAAGGGTGGCACTCACCCCCAGGGTGAAAGCACACATCACTAATATGTAACTTGTATATCTCTATTCACTGTTAAAATTTCACGTCAATCGGTGCGGGTGTCAAGAATTCGGAGATAATACCCTATTTTTATCCTCGCTTACTGGCCTAATACTAATAACAAAGTAAAGATAAAAGACTTCACAATTCTCATCCACTAGTATACTGAAAACGAAGAAATGTACCAGATAGAAATGGACACTTTCAAACATTGTCTTTTTTTCGGACAAATAGTTATAAGTATGAAAAGCAAACCTAGTTAACTTGTTTATTTAATTCAAAAGTTCTAAATTTCTGAGAAAGTATTTTATTTCTTCACACTTTCACTTCTTTTCTTCGCTTCTGCATATAGTAAGTAGGATTGCTTTTTTGGCGAAGCACTGAAGCACTTTATACTGCAAAAGTATATATGACAAAATGGTGAATGCGCTCTGTACCTTTCATACATATTTCTTTTAACGATAAAAATATATGTACTTTAAGATATAAAAACCAATGTTATACCATCATAAAACTGTAATTAGCACTCTGTATCTTTGGACCGGAATTGCCCAGCGAAAAAATGGTGAAGGTCACAAGTGCAAGGATACAATCGTTATAAAAAAGTATGTTAAAATATTAAGTGTCTGAAGCGGCGTGTGTGCTGATTTAAGAACTATCTAATAATCCTCAGGAATTTAATGAAAGACAGTGAGTGAAACTTAAGTAAGTAGAATTAAAAAATTATTAGTGATTAAAAGACTTTTGTAAATCTCAGTGACAGTGAAAGTAATGACTGAATGATTCAACAAATTTCTATGCTATGATTTATAAGTATACTCGTGTACCGTTTATTGGTTTATTGGTTGAATATCATAATATATGGGTTGAGGTTAGGTGTTCTTTACTTTTTTAATTCAAGATTTTGGAATTTTTTTTAACTTTGTACAGTGTGTTTTGCAGGGTTTCTCATTTATAAGTAGAGATACATAGATGCGGTTTTCAGGTCACTGTGCTACTTTTTTTGTGAAACTAAAGTTAGTTGTCGCATTTGCAAAAACATTATTTGCAGTAAAATTGTTGCATTTTTCAACTCCTTTCGTATCTCGGTTATCTTTATAACATCGAAAATGTAAAAACTGTGTCCCATAGTTTTTCACGTAGAATTCAATTTATTTTTTAAATGGGATACCCTCTTAGATTTTTTTATATCCCTTGTTATGAGCATTCTCAAAATATAATATACTCTATGCTTATTTTCAAAAACAAAGTAAAAAATGCTTCATTCAACTTTTTAACATAGGCGGTCGGTTTAAATTAAGTAATCAAAACAATCAAATAATTTATTCGGCGTCAAATTTTGGTTATTGGCTATTCCATCCTAGTTTCTGAGTGAAATTATTGTGCATCTAAAATATCAACATTATTATATTATTATAGAAGTGCATTAAAAATATCAGCAATTCTGATAGATAGACTGTTATCTAGAAGCTGTATAAGTTTAATTTCAATGCAGTTTAGTAAGATGGAAAGCAAAATTATCTCTCTCTGTTTAAATAAATTGAATAAAATAATACTCCTTTAAACTAGGTCGACTTGCGTTAAAAAAGTCGTATAATGCAGTCGTTTGCCTTATTTTTAGAAAGCTCTTAACAAAGCCAATAAAATAAAATACAGGGTGTATTTAAAAAACATAATTTTGAGTAATATTCCTAAAATAACAGCTCTCAGCGAAAAACTAGTTGGATTCGACATGAAAAACTGTAAGGAACACAGTTTTCACCTCTCTCAAGTTATAAGATATTTGCCCTGTATTTCAGGAACTAAGATGGCTAGGACAAATCTGTGTGTCGCTTCTTTAGTTTCATAAAAATGTAGTACAGTGATGTGAAAACCGCATCTTTGGGTCTTCTTATTAATTAAGTGAGAAACCCTGTAAAGCACACAAAAATCGGGACATCGCCCCTACAGGTAGGCCTGTTCCAAACACCGGAACACCGTTTTAACACCGGTGTTGGGCTGACACCGGTGACCAAATATTGGGTATCCGGTATTCCGGTGTTGACACCGACATCTGTTTTCATTTCGATACCGGTGTTCATCTACAACACCGGTGTTGGTCTCGACACCGGTGTTCATCTCAATACCAGTTTTAACTACGACACCGGTGTTTGGTAAACGGGTTAAAGAAGAAATATAATGTTAATTAATAAGTTCAAAATAAACCTGATAATAATAATGTCGTATCGGTGCTTATTTTTATCGTTTATTAAAGCCCACCGACTTTAACTTATAACTTTCAAATTTAAATATAATTTTTTGCCAGACTAATCACTAAAATAAAGTGGAAGCGTCAGATAAACAACTACAAAGTAAAAAATTGTTTAATCACAAACAAATAGAAAACAAAACAAAACATAAAGAAACAAAAATTCGTATCTGTAAAATTAGTTTATTTTTTTACATTAAAAAAGTTTAACATATTACATTAAAAAACTAAAGAAAAACAAACAAACGGCACCATCGACATCGACATCGACACCGGTGTTGATCTCGACACCGGTGTTCATCGCAATACAGGTGTTGAGGTAAACATCGGTGTTGAGATACACACCGGTGTCGAGATAAACACCGTTGTTGAGATAAAAACACCGGTGTCGGTGTTGACACCGATACATCGACTGAAACACCGGTGGTCATCAACACCTAACACCGGTGTTCAAATCTCAACACCGAACAGGTCTGCCTACAGGGTGAAAGATAGAGCAAAGTCCATTATTACAAAAACCGTTAAATAGAAACATTTTAGGGTGTATTAAGATTAACAAGATTATGTTTGATTACACAGGGTGCAGCCATATATGGGGCGCAGCACCCTATTTTTATTTTATTTTTAAATTCTATGAAAAATTCTATAACTTTAGAGAAAGAAATGTTAGATTTCAGTTTGCTAAAAATTTGTCATTGGTGTTAATATTTCTGAGTATTCAAGTTCGGTAGGAGTGTTTTATAGAGATGAAGAAAAAGCAATATTCAAATATAATGATGATGAAAATAAATTTATGAATTCCGACTATGTAATATTAACAAATATATTTTTTAAATGATTCACTCTATACATTATTATGTTTTTGATAGATCTTTCAAAACCCTCTTTCACCAACTTTTCTGAAGCACCCTATATACTCAAGAAGAGCTTTTAAAATGTGTATTTTAAACATTTCTAAAACTTTTACAAAGTAACTTTACTTTGATAACATCTTTAATATATGAAAGATGTTATTTCTATGTTTCTACTGAATAATAATCATGCAAATATTTATCAATATTATTAAGTAGGTACATATTTGTTAAAAGAAAAATTAAACAATGGATTCATAAACAGGAATCTAATTTAAACAGAAAATTTATTAAATATCTATATTTTTAAACAGAAATTACGTAGTTTTCTAATAATGGCAATACACATTTAATCAAAATACTTGAAAATCAAAATATCTATTTCATATGATAGCCACTGGCCATGTAATCTTTGATATAGCTGTCAAGTGATACTGGATAAAATAGTACTGAATACTATGTAACAGTGACTACAACCGTTGTTTTGTTATAGTATAATTTATAGTAAGTATAAAATATTAGTTTAAAATTGAAGCATATAAATATAACTTTTAAATTAAAATGGTTTTTTCTATACAGTTATATATTTTAAGATCTGCATACATTTTGGCATTGACTAGTTTTAAGGAACTGATCGCGTTCTTATTTCTACATAGTGTCTAAGTTAATAAAAAAAATACAATAAAATTATGAATCCTGTTTTTTAAAACCCATGGTCAGTTACAACAGGTCGGTCAACACCCCCCATACATACGAAATTCAAAAATAGATATACCACTATTTTGCACAATTTTGCACACTGTAAATGATATTTTGCACACTTACCTGAGAGAAACCAGAGCCGTTTTTTAAACGGGGGGCAAACTTGACCGTCCCCCCATCTGTTACAAAATTGATTTATTTCTATGTACATCGATTCGGCTAATTTTGCACACCTATTTTTAAATTTTGCACACCCTCCTGACGAAAGTTATAAAGGGTTGAAAATTTGAAATTTCCTCCCCATCTGTGACTAATTTGAATTTTGTTTATATCAAACGAATCAGATAATTTTGCACAATTTTGCACACATGTTTTTGAATTTTGCACACCATCCAGATTAAAGTTATGAGGGTTTGAAAATTTGAAATTTCCCTCCATCAGCTACGAAATTGAATTTTGTTTATGTCAAACGAATCGGATAATTTTGCACAGCTGTTTTCGAATTTTGCACACTCTCCTGACAAAAGTTATAAGGGTTTGAATATTTTAGATTTGTCCCATTGTGTGTAAAATGTCCCATTTAAAAAAAAACATAAGTATTAGTCATATTTCGAAAATGATAGATCTCGTGGATCTAGATAGGTGCCCGGTGGCGTAGAGGTACAGGCTCTCGTCTACCAATCTCAAGGTAGTGGGTTCGATTCCCACACCCGGCATTGCATCAGCCGACTATTTTTATTAAAATAAAAATAGTTTGGGTACCTAGGTCGACTCAGCCTTAAATGAGTACTTGGGATTCACAATCCTGAGGTAATAATAGGCGGTTGAAGCGTAGTGCTAGCCACATTACCTTCCTTGTATACCGAACGGCTCTAGAATGGCAAGCTGTACCTTGCTACTCCCAAGGCGTTGATCGCCTATATACGGGAACTATTATTATTATATAGAGCTCAGCGACGGCGACGTGAAAAACTGTACGGAACTTAGATTTCACCTTTTCGATAATTTATAGCTTGCAGAGAAGAAAATTTATGAAACTAAAGATTCTACACAAAGATTTGTCCTAGCCCTCTACTTCCTGAAATACCGGGCAAATTTGAAAATTTTGCATTTTTCCCCAACCCTCGTATCTCGGTTATCCTATAACTTATCGAAAAGGTGAAGTCTGAGTTCCGTACATTTCGTACAGTTTTTCATGTCGCTGAGATCTATCATTTTCGAAATATGACTCATACATGTATGTTTTTTTTTAAATTGGACACTTCACACACAATGGGACAAATTTCAAATAATAAAACCCTTATAACTTTTGTCATGAAAGTGTGTAAAATTCGAAAACAGCTGTGCAAAATTGTTCAAAATTAGCCGATTCGTTTGATATAAACAAAATTCAATTTCGTAGCTGATGGGGGGAAATTGCAAATTTTCAAACCCTCACAACTTTAATCAGGGTGGTGTGCAAAATTCAAAAACGGGTGTGCAAAATTGTGCAAAATTATCTGATTCGTTTGATATAAACAAAATTCAATTTAGTTACAGAGGGGGGGGGGGGTAATTTCAAATTTTTAAACCTTTATAACTTTCGTCAGGAGGGTGTGCAAAATTGTGCAAAATTAGCCAAATCGATGTACATGGTGGACCATTTTGGTTGTTTCTATAGGCTATCTAGGAAACCGTGAGAAATATTCAAATTTTGATACTGCAGTCTCGGGTTCTTTTTTTGAAAAAAATGCAATGGCGCAAACGGATCGTGGCTATCTTGATCGATTTTGAAGCTACAGGGGGATTCTCAAATTTTGTACTTTTTGAAGATGTTCTATAGTTTGTTTATTTCAGCAACCACGGAAAAATGAATTATACATTCTAAAGGCACTTTTCTGTGTAGAATGCAGTGGCGTAGTCAG